CTTTGTGGCCCCAGAAGGCAGGACCAGGACCAGTGAGCTGGAAACTACAAGAAAGGTGGTATTAAGAATATTTTTTTTATAGTTAGAGCTCTCAACCAATGGATTAAGTTGCTTCATGTTCCCCTTCATTAGATATCTTGAGGCTGGATATTCCACTCTCTGAAATGTTCTAGCAGATCTAGCATTGTTTGTTTGATATGTATCTCCAACCCTGGCAAATTAAGTGATGCCATGGACGTATTAACCCAGTGTCCAGAAGGTATGAGGGTCTGAATGGGGAACAACAGCTGAATTCTGGCAAGACTGAATGGTCTGGATTTGGGGGCCCACTGATTCCAGGACTAATCCATCCTTGGGGCTGGATGAAGTTATGCTGCCAAAGGAGACCCAGTGTGAAATCTGGAGATCCTCCTAAATTGCACAGTTGGCAGTCATGGCTAAGAGGGCCTTCGCCCAGCTTCATCTTGTACACCTGTTCCTGGATCACTTTTGCACCTGTTCCTGGATCAGTAGGCCATGTTTGCAGTCATTTATGTCCTAATCACCTTCACACTGGACTATTGTAATGTGCTCTACATGGGACTGCCCTTGAAGAGTATCTGGATGCTTCAGTTGTACAGAATGCAGTGCCTTGGGCAATGATGTGTGTTCCTGGAATGGTGCACGTTATACTTCTGCTCTGCGAGCTGCACTGGTTGACAGCTGATGTTCAAAATGGATGGGATGGAGGCATACAAGAAACCTGTGATAGGGACATTTACCTGTCTTGGCTATGGCTTTTCTTTAAAAAAATATGGTAAAAAAGTTAGCCAATTTTGCAAAGGAGAAAAATAGGCATATTTTAAAAATAAGCTGAAATGGCAGATGTGCGAAGCACACTCTTTATCGACACTAGCTGTTGTTAACACAACTCACTGGAAGTGAGTGACATGAGTGTAAGATTCTCTTTCCCTTTCCCATCTGCTCAAGAAGAAACTTGATGGCCCAGTTTAAATGTGGTTGCCTCCTCCGGGGACTTTAAGAGGAGATATCTAGAGCCTAACTTGGAAATATTTTATTTCACAAAGAGCAGATTATTGTCAAAATACATCCTGTCATTTTTAGAGATTGTATTCTTAAAAAATGAAAGAAATCAGAGGGATCAGTACCAGAGAAAGAAAGAAAATGAAAGAAAAGGCTCTGCTGGAAAACATACCAAATGAATGAATAATTATGATTTTTTTTGAATGGCATCTATATATAACTAAAACTCTCATGTCTGTAACCTTTAACTTGGCAAAACGATGCATTATAGGGCAACAATTTTTGAGCCAAGGTACTTCAGGTGGACTAATTTACAAAATGTGCCCGAAATCCAGGACCCATCACACCCATGGGATTAAAATTTGACAAATGGAGGTTGCTTCAGTGCTGCCACCCTGCCATGCCACCACCAGTCAGAAACTGGAGAGACCGTCTCCTTCTTCAACCACTGGAGGTCAATTAGACTGATCCCATCCTAGCCCTTCAGATGCTGGGTTCCATCAGCAGCTGCCAGTCAGCCATGGTCAAAGTTGTAGAAAGTTGGAAGCCGTTCCCACTCACACTGCTTTTTTATCATTGGTGATTATGTTCTTGTGTTTAGGTAAGGAAACATATCTGAAACGACGGTCCAATGGGTCATGGGTTGTCTAGTCTTTAACTGGTTCTGTTAAAAGGAAAAAAACGGAATCAGTAGATTGTCTATGTACTGTAATTATTTAGAGAAATCCTTTAACTCGCTCCAGGTTGATGCCTTTAATTATTCTAGAGTTGAGATTTCAACTCCCAGAGTTCTCAGCCAAGACATCTTGAGGATACCAGATTAGGGAAGACAGCATGAGCTGTATTAGTAGAAATCCATTATCCCACAGAGAGGGAATTTGGAGAGAGTATGGGAACTGTGGATTTGGTTTCTATTTATAACATGGCAAGACTCATTTAATAGTCTCTACAATGTTCTATATATTGAAGAAAAGACAAGGTTTTCTACAAATGCATGGCCATTTGCCTGTACCTTTTCATAGGAAAGTGAAGAACTCAGTAGAGCTCTCAAATTTTCTGAAGTATAGCAGGAATGACAATACACACAAGTTTCCTGATCATCTGAAGAGAAGGCATATTTAGTAGTTGCTTGGTGGGAGAAAAATAGCTACAGCAAAGGGGTGTGGAATGGCAAATCAAGCAGAATGAAAAAAATAGATGATAGTATTGATAATCATCATTAGGCCTATAGGACCAACACCAGAACTTTACAGAAAACCCTGTATCCATGCGCAGAACATGAAAAAATTACTAAAAAACATGTTGGCAGCAGCAACCGGGAAACCCGTTTGGGGGTATGGCCAGCCTGGGTCACTGCCAGTTCTGTGACCAAGGGCAAAATACCACTACTGGTTCGCCCGAACTGATGCGAACCGGTAGCAACCCTCCTCTGCTTCTAACAGATGTCCAAATATGTACAGTCCAAATAATATGTTTTTTATTTTGTATGTGTTACACAACAAGAAATAAAACAGAAGTAAAGAATCAATAGCTTCTTGTTTATCCCAGTCAGAGTTGGAAAAAATAATGAAGAAAATAGTTAAAGTTCAGATGTAATACCCTGTTATAAACTGAAACTTGCATAGTGGTGAGTGGTAACTCCTTCTTCCCTCACTCCCAGAGGTGAGATGACTACTCTCTCAGCATGAAACAGCTCCAACAAGCTATAGCCAGGTCTGATAGCTGGAGATGCAGGATTGCTTCCATCCAACGTGATGGCTAGATATGACTTTTTATAGCACAATCTGGATGGGATGATTAAATTAATACAAGCAACCCAACATTAACTGGCATGGCTCTAAGAAGTGACTAAGCAATAGGCTGTCCATCTAGATCCTTCAATAAAAGGAATGTAGATGAGAACAGCTATAGTGTTACTGCACCCTGGTGCAGCTTTGCAATCAGGTGGGACCATCAACCATGCCTAGCATAGTCAGAAGAAGCCAAATGAACAGCTGCAAACACTGAAATTTATTCTTTTTAAACTTACAGCTGTAGTTGATATCTTCATAATAACTTGCCTTTCACATTGCTATAGGCGAAATATTTCTCCCAATCAGTCCATAACAACAGGTATTCCAGGGGTGTCAAACTTACAATGACACATTGTCGTCACATGACATATCACAACTTTTCCCCCTTCCCTAAACCGGGGGTGGGCATAGCCAGGGTGTGACCCATCTGGCCCATTGGCCGTGAGTTTGACACCCCTGATGTACTCCATCTCCAAGGGCAAGTTCATCTAACATCCTGCCCTAACACTGAGGAAACATCCAGATGTTCCAAGTCTTTTTGAAAATTAGCATGGTTGGACATTGAATCTTGTGGTCTTGGTGGAGGGGGGAGATCATTCCACTGGGCAGCTGCCACAATCAAAAAGGCATGTGTCCTAGGTCCCATTAGATGTCCTTGTTTCAGGAAAGAGAATTGGAGCACGCCCATTCTGTTGGACCATGTTGGATGAGTGCAAACAACTGGGGACAGGGTGTCCCACAAATAGCCTAGTCTTATGCCACAAAAGGCTATATAGGTTATAATCAGCACCTTAAATTACATCTGGAAGCTCATTGGGAACCAGGGCTGCTCATGAAAGTGAAGTGAGAGAGGAGCATACTGAGGGGATCCTACATAGCTACCTGTACTGCTACATTTGCAGCATAAGAGTGGTGCAGTGGTGCAGTGGTTAAGATGTAGTACTGCAGGATACTTGGCAGATCAAATCTCACCAGGCTCAGCCTTCTATCCTTCCGAGGTTGGTAAAATGAGGACCCAGATTGTTGGGGGGCAATATGCTGACTGTTAACTACTTAGAGAGGGCTGTAAAGCACGGTGAAGTGATATATAAGTCTACATGCTATTGCTAAGTGTAATGCTATCCAGGTGATCTTCCAGGACAACCCCATGTAGAGTGAGTTATGAGTTATGAGTTATGAAAGTTTATTTATATGCCGCCCTTTTCCCTGGGGGGACTCAGGGCGGCTTACAACTCGAAGGGAGGGGGAAACACAAACATTTAACACGTAAAACAATACATAATTAAAAGCACAACATTCATCCCATTCGGGTGGGTTACAGTCTTTAGCCCCAGGCCTGACGGGATAGCCAGATTTTAAGGGCTGTGCAGAAAGTCTGGAGGGTGGTGAGGGTAC